AAGAATAAGAAGAATGAGGGATAACTGCCAGGTTAATGACCTGACGATTAGAAGGATAGAATTGTCATTAACTGACATGAGCAAGCAGAGAAAAGCTATGGAAGTGAAAATTACAAGTTAGAATTTGGACACCTTACTTTTGAAATGTCTTTTTGAGTAGAAATTTGAAATCATTTGTGGATCATCAGAAAGACCTGATGAGAGGTATAAATTTGAGAATTTTCAATCTATACCTTAGATATAGATGATATAGTTAATAGATAGTATAACGATTGTGTGGATGGTAAGGTGACCAAGGACAAGAATTTAAATAGAAAAGAAAAGCAGTAGGGCTTGGATCACTCAAAAATATAAAGTTGGCAAAGAAGAAAATGAAAGAGTAAAGGAAAATGGGTGATGGAAAAGAATAACCAAAATAAAATTGGAAGCCAATTGTGGCTCTTTCGCCAGGGTGAAAGGAATTATTAACATCAACACTAAGATGAGATGTTGTTACCTTTTTTTTTTTTTCTTATTTGTTTGCTTCCCTTTATTGTTAACACTTTTTTTCCCTCTTTACTGAGTTTGGTAGTTAAGTCATTGGAATCTATTCTACATAAGCCCGAGAGCAAAACTGAATGGAATAATAACTAGGCTGTGTATGAAAATGGAAATAATACAAATAGGTTATTCACATTGAAAGAAATTCAGACATAAACATAGACATGTATCATTCTGAAAATTATTGAAATTTCTAAATAATACAATAAAATTGTTTTACATGTATTTGACATAATAGTCATATAACTGATTTTAGTTTAAGTCTATCTTAATTTTTAGAAATAAAAGATAATTAATTCATTTTGTTTTGGAAATAAGTACATGTTAAGAATAAAGCATTCTCAAATTTTACCCACCTTACGATTCATGAACATCAAGTGATGGAAACTAATATTATTGAGTATATTGTGGGCATTTAATGAAATAAAGGTATCCACACTCAATATGGTAAATATTGTGTCTTTTTTTTCTAGAGAAGTTCAGTAATTTATTTAGTTTGCCAGTAAGGAAAAAATAAAAACTGATCCATCTGGATCCTAAATATATTTTTCCCAGTGTAGAAATTTTGTAAATTATTGGAAAATTATTGAAAGTGTTAATATTATATTGGCCTAGTAATTTCCTTGATTAAATCAAACCCTCTGGCTTGTAGCATATAAATCAGGTTTATAAAAACATAGACTTGATAAATATGAAAACTGTTAGCTCTACTCTTCCCATAAAGACTCCAGTATATCAGTCATTTCACAGATGAGGGAAACAGAGAAGTTTTAATCTAACTTCATTATTTTATTGCCAAAACATGGTAGTCAAATAGCATTTCTAAATCAAGTTTAAACATTTAATCTGTCTTATTCTATCTATGATCAATATGACACTCTCATAACAAACAGCCTACAACTTACAGGCAGCTTGGTATGTTGTAGTGATCTTAGCTGTTTCAAGCACGGTAGATCAAGCTGAAGCAAGGTATGTAGACACAAATTTTCCCATCTCTACGTAATTTCTTCTTTTTTCAACAGCCACTACATGCAGTTACAGGTCTTTTTAGAATTAGTTCACATGTTATTACTTAATTATCTTGTGATTAGAGAATAAAGTGAATGAGGCCTTACCAGAGCCTCATTCATTTTCTAATTACTTCAATTCACTCTATACATCTTCAAGTATTTTTCTGATCTGTACTCAAAGAGCTCTAGTAATGGGAGAACTAATTTCTTTCTAACCTGAAATTAAAACTTTTCAATCTGACACTAAAACGAAAAATTCTCCTTGTTTTAGAAACAATCTATTTAAACACTCTTTAGTTTACCAGCTCACATTTTAAGTATATTATCAGAAGCTGAACACTTATTCTATGCATTGTTTCATCATGAAAAAAAATCAGAATTATTTCTCACTTTGAAACTACACTACTCATGAAAGAAGAGTAGATTTAGAGTTGTTACCTATAGAACATTACTCTTAAAAAGAGTAGAATAGAAATTTAAATAGAATCCACAGGCAATTCCATAATAAAGATTTGCAAATACTGGGCGGCACCTCTAGCTCAGTGGGTAGGGTGCTGGCCCTATATACCGAGGGTGGAAGGTTCAAACTTGGCCTTGGCCAAACTGCAACAAAAAAATAGCCGGGCATTGTGGTGGACACCTGTAGTCCCAGCTACATGGGAGGCTGAGGCAAGAGAATTAACTAAGCTCAGGAGTTGGAAGTTGCTGTGAGCTGTGACGCCATGGCACTCTACCGAGGGTGATGAAGTGAAACTCTGTCTCTACCAAAAAAAAAGATTTGCAAAAACCTTAAAGTTTATTATCCACAGATATATATGTGTGTGCATATATATATATATTATATATAATATAATATATAACAGATATTATATATTATATTATGATCCTATAATATTTATTATTACATATATAATATATATAAACCTTAAAGATTATTATCCACATATATATATCTTAAAGTTTATTATCCACAGAAACTTTATTATGGGATCACCTGTGGATTCTATTTAAGATTCTATTCTACTCTACTTAAGAGTAATGTTATATAGGTAACAACTCTAAATCTACTCTTCTTTCATGAGTATTATAGTTTTCAAGATGAGAAATTATATATATATATAATATAATAGAGAGATGTATATACACACACACACATATATATGTGTATGTCTGTATATTTTTGTATTCCAAATGATTCACATATGTTATTAATGGGTAGACATCACTAGATCAATAAACATGTATCCATATTTAAGTGATTCAAACAGAAAAATAACCATTGTACCAAAGCTCTTTTATAGTTTCACTACAGTTTAGTTCCAAACTCCATGCAGTAGGTTCTTACCTGCTTTTTCCCTGAGTAAATCATGTTTTACATTTAAAGACGTAAAACATTTCTGTTATAAGTGAGATGAGAACTTCCTCTAGGAATGAAATAAAACAAAATTTTTATAAATATCAGTTTATTTCCAAAAATACAAAAATATAAATATACATTTATAAAAATATGAGTGAATTAACACAAAGACATTCTTCAACTAAATAAATATGGCAGTAATAGTCATTCCTATTTCATTAAGGATCTATCTTTTCCATATTAATTTACAAAGCAGTTGCACAATTTTTAATTTCATAGTAAAGAGGAACAAAAGTCAGTTAAGAAACCATTTATAAAGTTCTTAATAGCTCCTAAAAGGCACAAAAAGCCTTTCAAATATTTTTATTGATTATTGATTTGATAATACTTTTCTTCTGAGATTTTTAGGCAGAGGGTGAACTGGTTATTATTACTTTTATTAATAAAATCTAGGTCATCTGCATTCATTCACGAAAAGTTACTGATTAAGCAAACCCTTACTAAGACAACACCTATGTATTGTTTGTAATTTCGATTTTTGAAAAGTTTCCTCCAAAGAAGAGAATACCAGCCACTCATTCTAGCAACATAGACAGAATTTCCTGTAGTATTGATCAAGTCACCACAATAAGCTTAATCTTTGTCACTATCATCACCCCCATACATATCAGCCAGTTTTTTAAAACGAGGCCCCCAGTCACTGAGGTACTCATAATCCTGGTTACAATCCGCGGTGAGAGATTCTAAAGAACTGAGCGACTCTGCTATGGAATCATTCCCTTCGTAGGCGTAGGTCGCCAGGGAATCGTAGGGAGGCGCGCTCGGGTCTGCGTCGTTTTCTTTTAATCTTCGATGAATAAAATCTTGCACATCAATATTTTCCCACAGAGGCACAGTCCTCCTGATCTGAAAAATAGTTTCAGGCATAACATCTCGTCTAAGTTTGCTGTCTTCCCTTGCTTCTGGATTCCTGAGAGTGCCAATGTCGAAGGCCTGGGTGTCTTCCTCCCCGCCGCCTTCATCGTTGTAGGTCACGATGTTGTCCCGGACGTCGTCTTTAGAAATGATCAGGGGCTCCTTTTTCCTTTGCCGCTTCAAGGCAGCAAACAGCACGACTAGAACTATTAATAAAGAATGAGAAGAGGGTGAGATCCATGATTCAGGATGCAACAGAGTACATTTCTGTGTGTGAGGTTTGTGTGGGGAGGGAGGTAGTAAGATTGATGGAATGAAGCCAGTGACTATGTTGTGCAAATATGGGTCCCTCCGGCCCGTCACTGATGCACTACATTGATAAAACAGCAGATAGAACCGTGTCATTATTTTCCTTTCAAGAAATACCCTCTTCTGGGCCTCTAGCATTGAAAAAGTGTCGTTCAATTATTATCACATTTAGCCAAATTCAATTAGCTGACATTTCATGTTTTCCAAATATTCATTTCCAATATAAAAATGCGGAAGCTCTAATCATTAATGTTTCCGGTGAAATTGAGCACCACTTGAATACTTCTTCAAGACTCACGGGGAAATCTGTATTACTCATATACAGATGATTATACTTATGTATTCATTACAAACAGATTCTGTGCGTGCACACACAAATTTGTATGATGTACCAATTTTATCTATTCTCATATCTCTTATTCCTTTACTGCCCTGATTTTGAAAGCTTGCTTAAAATTATGAAATATAACTCTAAAAGCTACAACATAAAATATTCATGTCAAACTCATCTTTAACTTATACTTATCATCTTTCAAGACAACTCAGATATTGTCTTGTCAATGAGGACTTCCTTAATTTTCACAGATATATTTAAGCTTTTGGACTGAGATATTAATTGTATTCCCCATTATTTGTGGTACTGTTTTATTGTTCTATGTATTCTAAAAATTCCTTGTGAATTTCCCCCTATGTAGTATATTTTCTTATTTCTTATTAGAGTACTGGAATTCAAATTATTATACATAGATTTGTTAATAAACCATTTTCTAAATAATGCATATTACAATTAATAAAATATATTTGTTTAAAAAAAGGGAAAAAAAGGTAGGTTCCAAAATATAAATCTTCCATTGAAAATGGGTCAAGTCACTAATTTTGTGTGTAATCAATGTAAGCATTAAATCAAGCAAATTTCTCCAAAACACACTTGAACATTACAGGAGAGATATAAAACAATGTTCCTTTTACTTTAAAGCACTTAATGTTTGTCAATATTGTTCATTTTTTTATAGAAAATGAGAAAATGTTGGCTAAAAATTTCATATTCCTTTTTCTCAATTTTTGTATTGAGATTTCACAAAGCAAATTCATTTACATTGAGCCTGCACTTCAACATGACCCTTAAGCACCCTGTATCTACACTAATGGCAGGTCCAATATTATTTTCATATTGGCCAGCACACTTGCCTCCACTCTCACTAGTTGATAGAAATATCTTTATAAAAATGATTAAAGGCCTTTTCAGTTAACCTCTACAAAATGGACTGGGGTAATGAGCTATATTCAGGATCATCATGAAGACATTTTTACAAAACTATTCAGCAAAAATGACATTCATAATTGCTTCTACTAAAGGATGAATATAAGATTCATTAAGTCCACATCCACAGAAGTATAGCCATAAATTAGAAAAAAAGGGTTTCTTTATAAATTTAATATTAAATGAATTAATTTATAAGTTATCTATTTTTATAAATAAAATAACCTGTGAATTATTTTAAGCATTCTTTAGCAAATACACATCTAATTCCAACAAATGGAATTAGTACAGTTCTGAGTTTTTTTCTCTTCTGTCAAGTCAAAATTATCTGATCATATCTTAGATTGAGGTTATAATTGTGAATACAATTTGGAAAGGTCTATGATAAGGAATGGAAAAAAAGTGCAGCCTCATTTTAACTAATCTGCAGCTTCACGTTACCATTTCTTTATACTATGAATATCATTCTAAACTATGTGATAGTGGTGATACATGTGACTATTAAACCAATGGAAATCATGGGCACTTTATAATGCCTTACAATCGGACAGGTATTGCAAACTACCTTTATTTTTGTACTGGAACATAAAATTCATAATTTAATAATGAAACATATTTTGATTTTTGTGTTTGCTTTAATTTGTGTATTGCCTTTTTG